AACACTTCTGCTCATTTTCTTGGGCTTCTTTGCCTCTTTGAAGTTCTTGCAAAATTAAAAATTATTGCATCAAATTATTGTTAAATTTATAAGAATTCTTTATCAAATTACGAAAATCATGTTCAAGAATTAATTTGTTGTTAGGACTCATTTATATTTTGTTTGGTCGCTAAGAAAAGGTAGTAATAGAAAGAAAAGAAAGATAAAAACTTTGGATTTTTGCACTCAAATAATTAACAAAGTCTAAGGGTCCTAGCTATTGTTGAATTTTCTGAGTCGATGAGGTTAAACAGTTTCAAACATTTGACTCTGTGGACGGTAAGTTCACACATCATTTAAAGAAAACGCCACCAAAATTTCCTCTTTTTCAATATGCATGTACTTTGCGTAGCTACCAAACACAGGGATTATATTTAATTTCAATAATGTGAAAAAAAAAAAAAAATCCCAGATCAGTTCAGTTTGGGTTCTAAATTATTTGTCAAAATAATTTAGTGGAAAAAAAATGCGAACTTTGCATAAAAATGGTTCCAAATAATTTGAAAAAAAAAAAAGAAAAAAAAAAACTTTTGTTGGCAGATAAAAGATTTTAGAGTATGACAATCTCATCACAAAATCCCATCATTACCAACTTAACATGGACATGTCACTGAAATCTTCAGATGTCTAGGCGACTTCAGTTTCAGTGCAAGTCTTTATTATTATTATTATTTTTTCATTGCAATTATTTTTAAAATCTCTTTTTTGGAAAGCAATTTCATATATATGCAAAAGTTGCATAAGATGGGATAAAGAAAAAAAAGGGTAGAAGTTGCATGGAGAAAAAAAAAACAGAAAGAAAAGAACAGAAAAGAAAAGAACTTACCCTGGTTTAATTCTTGAATATACAGAATAGAAATGGAGTTAGAGGAGAAGGCCTTCAAAGATGGATTCTTTGAGAGAACTAATTTGGGGTTTGCTAAATCCTGAGAAGCTCTCCTCTCTCTCTATCTCTCTCTCTTTTAGTTGTAAGGAGAATAGCATGCAATGGAAGTTGTAGGGTAGGGTATAAATACAAGAGGAAATGCAAATTTCAACGTCGACGACTAAATGGAACGTTATTAGCTGCTGGAGATTACATACAGAAGGTGCATGTAAGTCTAATTGAAATTTTTGTATTTTGATGATATTGATTTTACTTCCTATAAAACAGAAATAGAATATTTCATATATTTGAAAAATCACCAATAACAAATCCCAATGAAAAGAAAAAAAGATATTGACGAGATCATGTATTCAAAATTGGGCACTTGTGTGTGTATTTTTTATTTTTTTTTATGATGAATAATTAGCATGTAATAATTAACTACATTTTTTGGTATTATCATTAATATCATTAATAACTAGTGTTAGAATCTGCGTGATGCGCAGAACAATATTTAAAAATGAAATAATTTTTTTATAATTTCGACATAAATACAACACGAATATTAGATGGTTGATACGAACAGAACACTTTTAATCAGCTTAATATTATAAATAAGTTAATTGGATAGTGTTGACCCATATATAACTTTTGTAACCCACTTAATATTATAAATAGGTTAAGTTTTGTGTTGACCTATATTCAATCTACATAACTGTTTATAGTATTTTTAACTTTTAACCTATTTAACTCCAATTATATTTAAAAATAAATTTTCACACGTAAAATGCAAAAATTCTTCGAGATTTATAATTAAAATAAAATAGAAATACAACAATAAAATTTAAATAGGTTTTAGTTGAAGTATTTATATCTAGCACTAGAATTACCTCTTTACTTTTAAATAAACGGGTCACTCTCCTAACTCGCGTGTCAATCTGCAACACAATCCGTTTATATTCGTATCATAAATGAGTGACTTGTTTATGACACGAAGTTGTTTAATCTCAACCCTGACCCATTTATTTTGCGTGTCGTGATCCATTTTGGCACCCTTAATATGACCTGCATCAAAAAATGTACACACAGTATTAATGTATTTTCAATAGTGATAATAATTTTGAGAATTTAACTAATAATATTGAAATAAGAAATTAAGTATTTTTTATTTTATGCTCATGATTTATTATAAATAATTGTTTATTTATAATTAAGTATTTTTTATTTTATGCTCATGATTTATTATAAATAATTGTTTATTTATTTGAAATATTAATGTATTACACTTATTTAGTGGAGTGTGTCATAAGTGTATGGATCTCCTACTTTTTTAAAAATTGTCGAATCATATATGTTTCCGTATTGCGTGATGAAGTGTTTTTTTAATTTATTTCTGCATTTTTTTTTATTAATGAATAATCAGAAAAAATAAGAAAGGACTAAATCTTTTTTCGAAAAAACTTTTATTACTTATTTTTTTGATATAAAAGAAAAATAAAATTAATTTTTCTCTATAAATTTATTTTTATAATTCTTTATTTTCCTTCTAATTTGAAGAGAAAATTATTGGAATTCTTTTCCCTTATATTTTTTCTTTCAAAAAAATAAGTTTTGCCTATTAATATTAATTTAATTTTTTTCCTCTTATATGAATTAATATTAATATTAATCTAGCTCCTTGTATAAATTAAATATTTCTTATTTTATGGCTTGAGTTATTTGTATTTTAATTTAATTTAATGTATCTTGATGGGATGTAATTAATAGATATTATCTTGATGGGATGTAATTAATAGATATTATCATGATAAAAACATTATCTAAAAATAACAACTTATCTTCTTACAATTGATGTCATTACACCTTATTTTCTTATAACCGTGCTAAATAATTATTGTCCTCCTTATACTTGACAGTTTCATAGTCTTACATTTGACTTCCATAAAATGCAACTGCTCTGCATTTTTTATATAAATATATATATATCACTAAATTGAAAAAATTTATAAAGTTAGACAATTAGGTTAGTGATTATGTAATATATATAATGTTTACACAATTAAGTTTAATAATATAGAAACTTAAGAGTTTCGATTTATCTTTCAATGTTTCTAAAATATCTAAAATTAACGGTTCGATCTCATCTTTTGATGTCTCCAGAATATTTTTTGCATCTTAATAAAATAAATCTTAATCTTAATTTAAATATAATTAATGTGTGTCTCTTTACAAGTATTTTTTTTAACCCTTTAATTCCATCAATCGATGACATCACTGATATTTCTTTTGTCACAAAACCTTTTTCATATGAAAAAATAAAAAAGAAAAAGAATTGATAGATAGACATATTTTAACTAAAAAAATTGGTTACCTTATTAGAGAAAAAAAAATTATGAGGAATCTATATTTTTTGCGTTAATTATTATATAATTATCGTATTAAATTCGATAACTAGTGAGATTAATTTATCATTATATGCCAAAACACAAATTTAACCAAAGTAATTAAGGTTAGAATATAATGGTTTAAATCAATTTCACATGCTTGAAACAGAATTTGCGTTAAGCAGATGCAAATAGATTAAGTTATCACAATGGAGCTTAGTCGAATTATTTCTATTTCTAGGGTAATTCAATTCCTATACGTCTTTCAATTACTTGACTTAAATGCTTTTTATATGTCAACTCAAAAGTCCTAATGCCCAAAATTAGCTTTGGGAAATGTCAATCGAACCTTCTACTAATTAACATTAATTTTTTTTTTCATTAGGAATTTAATGAAATGAAATAGTATTATTATTCCATCCATACATATATAATAATACCTTCACTTTTTTTTAAAAAAAAAAAAAAATAATACATTCACTTTCTTTCTATTTTTTATGAAGTAATAAATTATCTTTTTTAAATTTATCTTTATTTATATTAGACATGTACAATATAATAATATGTCATAAATGATAATCTGGTCAAATTATTTTTGGTATCCCATGTCTCATGTTACTGCCAAATTAGCCAAATTGAAGGCTATTTTTAGGTTCTCAGTTAAATTTTTAGTACAAATTAAAGTTATAATTAAATCATTTTATTTTATTTTTTATTAAGGAAGATTAATTGGCAATGGCATACAATACAATTGTTGGAACTTGCACAGAGTAATTTTCTCGAAATCATAAATTTAATAGCTTAGTAACATATGAAGAGGACGAAATCCTTCCTTTGAGGAGTTTTTGTTCAATCCTTATCAACAAAATCAAAAGGGACTTTTTTCTTTTCTTTTTTTTTTTTTTTTGGTTCATTTGTTGGAAAAATGTGCAGTAAAAATGATGTCAATATTAATTGGAGCTGTGTGAAGAATAAAGACAAGTACATACATAATTGCAGAAAATTTTGAATCTTTACGTAAGCTTAGCTAATTGGTGTAGTCTTCGTTTTTTACTACTATTTTGATTTCTTCTACACATTCTAAGTTTTCGATCTTGTCAATATAAACTATGAGACAAAGAATACAAATCTAGAATATGTTCATTACACACGTAAGATTGAACAAAACTGAGAAACAAAGAGGTTGAAAATCTTGCCTTTCTTTATTAATAAAATGATTTATATATAAGAATTATAGCTCATCTAATCTCTTTGTGCAAGGTAAATTCCTAAACTTATGTAACAAGAATAATCTCCTAAAAATAAAGTATCAAGATTTTACAATAGAAAAGTATCTACAGAAAGGAAAAAAAAAAAAAAAAAAAAAAAAAAAAGGGAAAAAAAAAAAAAAAAAAAAAAAGAAAACAAAAATCGTGAACAATTCATGGCCATTAGATATGTCATGTAGGATCATTCCAATATCTTCCCAAAAATATTTCAGGGAATATGGACTCAAAAAAGAAATAGTTGAAATTTTCACCAGTTTCGTATAGAGTTAGAGATGAAATTGGAGATAAAGTGAAAAAAAAAAAAAAAAAAAAAAGAAAACAAAATCGTGAAAATCATGGCCATAGAATCATGAGGATCATTCAATATCTTCCAAAAAATATTTTCAGAATATGGACTCAAAAAAGAAATAGTGAAATTTTCACCCGTCGTATAGAGTTAGAGATGAATTGGAGATAAATTGAGTACTCGTTAAGATATTCGAATCCATCTCAAATTTATTTAAAATTTCATTTTTACTATCTGAATTGGTCATAAATCCAATTAAAATTATTTGTTCAACGCTTGATTCATTCAACTACCCATTTAGTATTAAAATATTTTATTTATTTTTGAAATAAAAAATAAATAAAAAGTTTAAAAGATTTGATTTGATAATATATATATATATAAAATAATTATAATACTAAGTATAACTAGATAGACATAATTATAATGCAATTCTAATTACAATATTAATTAAATGAGTAATAAATAATATTTACTAGTTGTGGCTTAGTTAGCTACGTAGACTGAGCACGTGGGAAAAGTTCTCGAATTCGATCTCCACTAAACACACCTGTAAAGAGGGACAAACAACCTTAACTGTGGTAATTTTTCACCACATTAAGATATCATTCACAGATCCCAATTTCATCACTTATTGCAACTTTGGAGAATGATACCTTAATTTAGATTTGTGTTCATAAATGATGCTTTAATTTGGATTTGTGTTCATAAATCCATAGTCAAGAAGGATCAAATTTCTCTTTAATGAGATAAATGATACATGAAATTAGAAATAAGATTATAAATGATAAATGAATTTGGAATTTTTAATGTTTATACAAACATGATATATCTATTGTTTTTTTATGTGAATACAATCTCCACATTTGATGTTTAGATAAGCAATTGATATTGTATTAAAAATAAAATTTGGTTATTTTATAATAGAAGACTTAATTTTTTTTATCAGAACATTTATAAATTTATTCATTCCTCAATCAGGTTAGTTAATTTTTGAAAATATTATGTTGTTTTACACTTTTTTTTTCCAATTTGGTTAATTAAAGATGTTCGACTTATTACATGTTTAATATGAAATATCAGTATAATTAAATCAAATCATTACCTAATTAAGGAAAAGAAATTAATTGCATATATATAGTTGTAAAATTATTTGAAAAAGTTTAATAATTAATGTCACTAGATTCGAATAAATAAATAAAAAGATATAATCTATTTGGTGAATAAATATTTTATCACCAAATGATGTGTATTTCGAGGAAAGATATTTTGGGTGAATCTACATTTATTTATTAAAATAGTGTTTATCACAAATAGTGTTTTTTACAACATTTATTACAAATGAACAATTATTTATCATTTGTAAATAGTATTTCAATTGACATTAATTTTTGCAATTAGTTTTTTACAACATTATCATTTTTGTCAAAATCTCATGGACTGTGGCCACAAAAAATATCAGTTACCAAACACGTACACGTGTTTTCAGTTTGCCCGCATGTGCGCACGCGTGTGATATAACTCAACAATATAATATAATATACTCCAAAAAGATCGTAATGTCAGACTAAGGGTGGTGTATGTGTTCCAGTCGACAGTTTGACAATAAAGAGCTATTCTAATTCTGACGTTTGTATGTAAGAATTTATTTAGAGAAAGGCCAATAGCAAACATTTGGAAATTAAATCAACTGACAACTTTCTCATTCTCGGGAAGATATCATTTCAGAGTTGTGCAGTAATGTAGAAGGATCCAGCGTTGGATGGTTGTCAGCGAGTCAAATTTTTGCTGGGAGTGATTTATTAATCATAATTAATTATATGATTATTAACCTTAATTTATCTGATATTAAATACGAATAAAGAAAGACATAATATAACTAAGAAGATGTTCAAAATTGTTGCACACAAATGAATTTCATTGAAGTAATTTATGGAATACAGATATCCTTGACATTTACAAAATACACCTATCCAAGCTTGTTGCTTGAATGTTTTAATCATTATCTTTACTAATTAAAAATAAATCATAATACAAAATCCAGAATATATATATAATCCTATAAAATCAATACAATTATTACACAATAACCACCAGTTCTGATGGCTTCTTGTCCTCTATCAGTACTCTATCTTTCTATATATTTATATCTACAAATTTACTTCTAGAAAAACTTTATATATAGTGATTAATATCTCTATCTTGTTTGGAAGTTTAGAGTCCTTATGGCATAAGCATACACAAATGCAAAGAAGACTGTGAAACCAACCAATACAGCAGCAACTGGTCCCATGAAGTTTGGATCATACCCATAATGATCTTCTATATATGCCTTAATTGAAGGACCTTGAAGTAACCCAGGAACTTGAATAGTGTCTTCATTATCTCTGTATTGTGACACAATAAGTCCATACACTGTCCATGCCACTGGGCAAATCCAATAGTACCAAATCCACCATTTGGGAATTCTCTGCAATTAATATATTGAGTTGTGAGTCAAAATGCATTACTAGTTGTTGTTGTTGTTGTTGTTATTCAAATGGTGTTAAAGGAAATGGACATACCGGTCGTGGGATGAAGAAGCCTGAGAAAAGATTGAAGAGTGCATAAAATGTTGCTGCAAATATGGATGCTACTTGGAGATTTGGCGTCACGGAAACAGTCATCATTCCATAATAAGTGAAGTAGAGGAAGGAGAAGAAGGAGATGAAGAAGAACCAGAAGAATTTTGCTGCTGTCCATTCGAAGGCTACCATAGCATACACAATTAGAGTATAATATGTTGTTTGAATGAACACATAAGGTATTTCACAAATGACCTGCAAGTAATGTTAATACTATTAGGACATAAAAACACAGTAGCAATCATTGAATTTGCAATTGTAAGAGCCTGAAGATGATTTCATAAATACAAACTAATTAGAAAGAAGCTGAATGCTTACCTGTGCCAGAGCGTAAGGTAATGCAGAGTACATTCCGGCTGCTCTTTCACGATAAAAGACAGTCCTTTCAACTGATATTATTGGTTGTACAGTCGAGCAGTTGTTAATGCCAATAAACAACACAGCAGCATACATAGCCCCAATGATCATACTCAGGTCAGTTGTGGTATCCCTGATACACAAAACATAAAATAGAACAATTAAAATTGACGTTATTTTGTATTGAATTGTACATGCAAGAGAGAAAATTGTTTAGTCTGCTTACTTTTTAGTGCCAACTTTCCAGAAAATTGACCCAACCATAAGTGCAGCAGCTAAGGTGAAACCGTATCTAACAAGGTTATAATCAGGACTTCTCCAATAAGTCCACCACTGCTTCCATAGGCAAGACTTGAATTGTCCCCATGGAGACTGAGAATATTGAGATGCAAAATAAAGGTCTTTTGCTCCTGGTGGTGGTGTGCTCAACTCCTTCACTAAAGCCTTATTTCTCCTGTTCATATAAAAATAAATATCTAAGGTCAAAATTCAAAGAATTTGGCATACAACATTAGCAAAATGGAAATTTGTATAATATTTTTTTTCTTTGACTTACTGGTGTAAAGATGATGACTTGTAGTATTCTGCAAAGTCGATTCCAAGCCTGACTTCTGCTGCTATAGAGCTCACTTCTAGCATCCATGTTGCTGGATTGTACTTATCTTTGATTTTAGGAACTCCAGGGATAGCCTGCAATGCCATAAAATTAGACAATTTGTTCTTATATCTTTTGGGTACTTCAAAGGACGAAGAAAATTTCAGGACAAAAGAATACCTCAAAGTATTCAACGATCTTGTGCGAATTTCGACCCAATGGTCCTGAGTATATAACTTGTCCTCCTCTCTTCATTAGTAGCAACTCATCGAAAGCTTCAAAGATGTCGATACTGGGCTGATGGATTGTGCACACAACAGTTCTTCCAGTATCCACGGTGTTTCTTACAGTCCTCATAACAATTGCTGCTGCTCTTGCATCAAGTCCAGAAGTTGGTTCATCCATGAAAATGATCGAAGGATTAGCAACAAGTTCCACAGCAATTGTCAATCTTTTTCGCTGTTCTGTTGACAATCCTGTGACTCCTGGAAGTCCAACTATAGCATCTTTTAGATTGTCTAGCTCTACTAACTCCATCACTTCATCTACGAAAGTCTGGAAAGATTAAACCACGAGATTTCTTTTAGCACTTCATTTTTTTTATTATTTTTTTTTAAAAAGTGATTTAAATGGTGAACATACCATTTTTTCTTCTTTGCTAACTTCTTTCGGAAGACGAAGGAATGCTGAGTAGATTAGAGATTCTCTTACAGTGACTTGAGGTGAGTGGATATCATTCTGTTCACAATATCCTGAGATTCTTGCAAAGGTTTCTTGATCTTTAGGGAATCCTGAAATTCTAATATCTCCTTCAATATATCCACCTGTCTTTCTTCCTGCCAAAACATCCATCAATGTTGTTTTTCCAGCTCCACTAACTCCCATTAATGCTGTTAGGACTCCAGGCCTAAATGCGCCTGTTACTTGGCGAAGAAGTTGAAGTCTGTCTTCTGGAACTCCTTGTTGCTTCATTTCCTGTTACCACCAATTAAGGTTAGTCACAAATAATAGATAGAAGCTCAAATATATAAAAAAAGTTGGAGAGCAATAGGGATTTTGATTCTTACAGCAGGCATGTCCACATAATAGTTCACGCTGTCAAAAGACATGGCTAGTGGAGTGAAAGGAAGAACCATCCCTCTCTTCGGAGCAATACCATTAGCTGCCTCAAGAGATGAATCGGCATTTCTGCTCAGTCCATTGGGGTTGGATCGGCTGCTCATTCTATGCATTGCCATTTCTCCTGATATATTTTTAATTTCAAGTCTCTATAAGGATTTCTACTATTGGGAAAGACAAAAAAAAATGAATTTTTTTCTTTTTTGTTTCTTACTTGTATTGTTTCCATCAGCAGAAGATAATGAGCGAGGGAACGAGTCTCTTTTTGATGTTGTCATTCTCAATCTTGGTTGACCGTTTGAGTCTTCTTCTTCTTCCATTTCCTTTGCTGATTCCTCAGATATTATTGCTTGTTTCTTTCCAGGAGCTATTATACCAAAGCAAAAAACACATTTTAAAAAAAAATTACCACTTCAAAGAAGAGAATATATTTACATCCTCCAAAAAGAAACCTTCCTCAAAAGGAAGAAACAAACTTACCATTCATGTACATAAGAGCAAAGGTGAAAAGAACATTGAAAAGAATTGCAAATCCAAAAAGGGCACCCGCACCAATCCAATACCAATTCTTGTTTTGGAAAACATCGAAGCTTTTGAGCACTGCAATGCCTAAACTTGTAGAACCGTCCGAAGCCTGTAATGCAATCATTTTCTCTCTATCAAACACAAATCTAAATTCTATTTCTTTTATAATTCCATTGATAATTTGAGAAACACATACCGTTTTGTTCATCCACCTTGGAGCATACATTTCATTAACAGCAAATGCATTGTAACCATAACTCATAGGAGACAGCCAGTAAGCCCACTCCCACCAGTTTGGAATTTGACCTTTTGGTATAATAAAACCTCCAAGCAAGAAGATTAGAAGTAGAATAAGCACTCCACCCGTATTCGCAATAATCATAGTCCTACAAACTCCTGCAATCAATCTAAATATCCCAGCAGCCATTTGCTGAGTCAGAAATACCAGTAGCAGATGCTTGAAAAACCTGCAGAGACAGCATTCAACAGTTAGAACTTACAAACAAAAGTGAAATAACTAAAAATATAATCATCTTAAAGAAAATGGGAATGGTTTGGATTTACCTGGCAGCTTGAGGAGCAAGTCCTATTGAATAATATGTAATGCAGACCCAAACCACAGATTCTATTATTGACATAGGCAGAGTAAGCAGGAAAGTTGGGAGAGTGAAAGTCCAAGCTGGATGGAAAAGAAGGTCTCTTTGCTTGTAAAATACTGGAAGTCTTGAAATCATCAAAGAAAGCTCGGCAAAACCATTAAACATGTTAATGATCATAGTAAACAAAAGTGCACCAATATATATTGCTCCATCTTCTTCGTTTCTTGAGTGCATTCTTGGTTTTATAAATACTGTTGATGCTATAATTGCAACAATTATAATTTGGACTGTCTTGGAGACAAAAACCACAGAATTTCTTTTGATCAATAGCCATTCTTTGTCCCAGCATGCCCTTAGTAGTTCCATTTTTGGAACAGAATATTTTGAGAATGCTAGAGCTGCTTTATGGCCTTGAGACTTGTCAAATGGCACTGATAGCTCATTGTCTAGTTGCATTCCTACATGGAATCTCTTGAATTTTTCTGCAAATTCAGGAACTGATATGTATTTGTATGGTCTATTTTTGACTGCCCAATATTGCTCCTGGTCTTTCTTTGATGTAACCTGTAAGAATTACACGAAGTCAATTAGACATCTTTCTTTGACGGTTGTAAAAGATTGAGGTCAAGGTAAACAATGTTTTACCTCTTGCAAGAAATCAGCAGTTCCCTTTCTTTCTGGACAACAGAATCCACAGCTCTCAAAGAATTCAAGAATATGTTCTCGTGGGCCCTGATAGACAATACGACCTTCTGATAAGAGAATCACATCATCAAAAAGATCAAACGTTTCAGGGGCAGGTTGGAGTAGGGACATCAACACTGTAGCCTCAGTTAGGTGAACAATCTGATGCATGCACTTCACTATTTGATATGTTGTGGAGCTATCAAGACCCGTTGATATCTCATCCATGAATAATGTTTTTGTGGGGCCAACAATCATCTCTCCTATATAAAATAAAAAATTATGCTCTATTAATTATTAGAACAAATCCAAAACTTTAATCTGTAAAAAAAAAATAAAAAAAGCAAGTGTTCTGTCGTCTGCCGTATGCCCTTCGCTATCTGAATAGAACTGTACTCCTCCGAGTACACGTAGATACTGAAGATGATTTTTTTATTTATTGTGTTGGATTCAATTAATTATCATCAAAAATGTAATTAATTAATAAAATATAATTAATGGTTTGGCACAGAAAAATGGGAAAGCACCGTTTTCTCCTTTGATTTTTGATTACAGGAGTTGTTGAGAGTCAACTGAAAGATTTGGTCAAACATATATTTGTTTCCACATAAACTCTTAACTAAATATAAAATATATATATATAATTTGTTGACAATTTTTTACCTTTTCTTCTTTGTTTCTTAAGCATGTGACAACTCATTCACTTGCGTGTGCATAATTATCAAGCAAAACCAGACTAGTCAAAAACAATTAATCTCTTAATTAATTGATTAATTAACTAATTAATCAACTAACCTGTTGTTACCCTTTTCTTCTGACCGCCAGAGATCCCTCTAAGCATTTCATCTCCTACAATGGTGTCTTTGCAGATATCAAGCCCTAATAGCTGTTTAACAACAGAGAAATATGATAGTAATTAATTAATATAAATGTTTGTTAATTAACAAAGAAAATGTAGTTAAATTGTGGTTTACCAAAAATTTTGTTAACCGGCCAAAAGGATAGGGTGTCATAGGGTAGGTAAGGGTACGTAGGGATATTTACAAGTTGCAAATTCAAAGGGATTGGGCCATCTCTTCTGATTTTGTTGGTTTCCAACTCACAGAAAAGTCTTCAATTAAGATTTCAATTTTGACCTCTCCTACCCAATAACCCACTTGCATTTTCCTCCCACCATCCTCACATCCTTTATTTAATAAAGAAATTCTTAAGAAAAAAACTGAAAATATATTGTTTTTCTCTATTAATTTTATTTCAGGATTCGTAGATTATGTCTTAACACTTGAATTGCTTGCTCTTGGTATGTTAAAAATATTTAGTAATTGAACATTTTTTTAGAAGGTAATTGTACTTATTTTTGAGTAAACTATAAAAATGAAATAAATATTACAGAAATTTTATGAAAAAGTCAGAATTTGCTAACTTACTTTGAGAGTGTAGTCGGTAAAAAGGTTGCTTTCTGCTCCTTTCATTGCAGTTGCCTACATATTAGAAAGTACAATTATAATTGGACTTAGTAAATTGGAATTACATATTTGAAATAGACATAATAAATTTAATTTTAAACGTGACATTTTCCTGGCTTTACCTTCATGAAAAGGTCAACTTCCGCCTCTGGAAATATTCCAGCTTCCTTTTCTCTTCTTGCAAGCTCACTCAAGAGATCTACATAACACAAAATTAATAAACTAATGTTAATTGGTGTTTAATTGCATAAACCCAAGATTACTCAAATTTCGTTGAAGTATACTAAATTACCATATCGAGTTCCAACTCCTTGACATCTTGCAGAGAAATCTAAGGTTTCTTTAACTGTCATAACTCCGACATGAACATCGTTTTGGCTAATATAAGCAGATGTCTTTCTTGGCACAAATTCATTGAGCTTGTACCCATTATATGTTATGTCTCCACTAACCTGTTCAACCAAAAAAGAAATATCACCATTATTCTCCTTTTCATACCAGTAAATATTAATTAAATTATAATATTATATGTTAAATATATTACTGACCTTGAGACTTGGGTCCAACTTTCCGGCCAATGCTAGCAAAAGGGTTGTTTTCCCAGAAGATGGTGGACCTAATAATAGAGTCATCCTAAAAAAAAAAGAATAAATAATAAGAAAAAACCAATTATTTACATAATAATTATCATACTATTTCTTTTTCAATATGGGTATTTTAATTTAATTTAATTTAATTTACCTTGATGGTTTTAGGATGCCAGAAGCATCTTTAAGAATTGTGAGCTTTGTTCTTTTAGCCAAATTAATCCCAAGCAGTCCAATTGCAGATTCTGCAATGTTTCTAGCAGCATTTGGAAGAGTAGGAAGAGCCCTGCTGCCAATATGGCAATCTGCTTCGACAGTTAAATGCTCAAACCTGACTTCCACTGTTGGAAGTGTAATTCCAACCCTGAAATTAATTAAAAAAAATGAAAAAGTTAGATGATTAATTAAGTTTTAGGTAGATATTAAAACATATTGACAGTTTTAAGTAAAAATGCAATCCAGATATATAATTAAATGTAATTAATTTTCTATTATCATGTAGAAATGATATAACTAAGGACTTGAGGTTAAAATATTTGATTCAAACAAAGGAAGAAAAAACGGAACATATATACATATATTAAAAGAATTATAATATTAAAAGGAAAAAGAAAAGGAAAGAAAGAAAGCTTACTTGTCAATTCTCTGCCTAAATTTTTTCAAGAACTTGTCATTATCTTCCTCTGCAACCTTAAAAATCATGTCAATGAACTTTTGCCTATCATTCACATCGAGCTTGCTGACATCAACTTCTTTATGAATCATTTTGGTTCCTTGAACATCATGGTCAACAAAAGATTGCATGATAGTTGTTCTTAATCTATCATAAGTTGGTAACTTCTCTATAGCAGCCCATTTGAGAGCTTCTTCATCTTCCTCAGCATGGCGAGTACTTCTCCTTGATTGCCTTCCACCTGAAAATACTTCTTCCATGCTCTTGCTAATGCTCCTGCTAAAGCTTCTTGTCATGTTGTGGCTTGCTCTCCTAGTACTGGATGCTCTAATTCCTTTATCTATACCTTCCATTTTTTGCATTTTTCTGTGTTTAATTTAAAAATAAATAAATAAATAAAAGCTTACGTTAGTAGAAGTTGGATTAAAACTCAGAACTACTTGGAATTTTACAGTGCTAGAGACAATTTCAGTAACTTAATTGGTTGGCTAGTGTTTCTTTGATATCTTTTCTCGCTACCAAACGAAAGGGTAAAAAAAACTGCAAGAAAAGCACTTACTTGAATCAGTTCTGGTTGAATGACTTGAAGAAGAGATGAAGCTGAAATCTCTTAGTTATCTAGACACAGGAATTAAAGAGGAGAGGGGGAGAGGAAGACGGGGTTGGTTGGATTCTTGAAGGTTGTATTTTGCTATGCAATTTCTGGTTCTCTCCAAGAAAATCTTGAGAAGGTCTCTCTTTCTTTATCTATGTGTGTGTGTGTCTCTCTCTCTCCAACTCCTCTTTGGTTCTGGTAGTAAAGCTTAGGCAGAGAGAGCGATGGTAAGTTGTGTAGAGAAGTTAAGAGGTATATATACAAGAGAGAAAAGGAAATAGGTTGCCAGGTGCGAATATTCAATTTTAAACTTCATCAATTAAGTAGAATAATATAGAATAGTGCAATGCAAGCAGTACTTGGAAAGTCTTGTTTGGTAACTAAAGTGTATTCAAACGTGATTGGCCAAACCCACTTTCTTCTCTCTTCCATGCAATCTTACTACTTTTTAGTACACTATTCCACAGTCATTCTTTAATCTTCTGTACATCAATTTGAGTCATTAAATATCTGGATTTTTTTTTTTTTTTTTTTTTTAAAGTGTATTTCTAATACGTGATGTTCAATATCTCCACTTCTCTTTCCTTCTTCTGCATTCTTACTATCTTTATTACATTTCTAACCAACAAGTCATTTTCTTTTAATCTTCTGCTAACATACAATTTGAGGTCATTAAATATCTTCTGGATTATTTTTTTTTTTTTTTTTTTTTTTTTTGACAAATCTCTGAATTTTTGAAAATGGCATGTGACAATTGCTTGTTATAATCATATTAAATTTGATAATTCTACATAATAAAAATGTAAACCAAATTAATGAAATAAAATTAAAGATTAGTATAATTTAACTATTGTTTCAAATAACAATCTTAATATGAATTAATATGACAAATTGATGTAAAAAATAGACAAGTGAACATATTAAAATGTCCTAAAAGGTTTCATAGTTTTTTTTTTTTTTTTTTTTGACAAATCTTCTGATTTTTGAATGGGCATGTGACAATTCTTGTTATAATCATATTAAATTTGATAATTCTACCATAATAATAAAATGTAAACCAAATTAAAATGAAATAATTAAGATTAGTATAATTTACTATTGTTTCAATAACAAAAAATCTTAATATGAAATTAATATGACAAATTGATGTAATAAAATAAACAAGTGAACATATTAAATGTCCTAAAAGTATTTCATAGACATTTTCTAATAATTGATTTGATTTTATGCCGTTAATTAAATGCTTTGGATTCGAATATCATTAGTAACAGTTCCCTTTATTTTTCAGGACCTATGAAAGAAATATTCTTCCTTTCAATATGTTTTTTGATAGTCTTCCTTTCAATGTAATCATGTGATCTTGCTAAACATGGAAGCAAGAAAATCTAAAGATACCCGCGAGCTATACAGTTGAACTACAATCCAAAATAAACTTATAAATAATAAATAATTTGATTTTCATAATTGTTTTTAGCATGACAAGGGTAGGTTTGGTAGGCTAAAATGCTATAGTCATCAATTACTCACTTAATTATAAAAAATTACCAAGTTGGGTTGGTAAATAGTAGGGCCCCCTCTCCCTCAATTCTTATATTTTAGAAATTACAACATTTTGTACTCTATGGCTGCACATCCAAGTGGTAATTTAAAATAATAATAATAATTTGTCCAAATTTTTCTTGTATGTTTGAAAGTTAGAACACCATCCACGGGTGAAGAGAGGGAACTGGGGGAAGCCTAGGCCCTCCCAAACGCCAATTTTTTATTTTTTTTAATTAAAATTTTTTTTGCTTTATAAAATAGTGGAAAAAAAATTTTTTTTCTTGAATTTTTTTTTTAAAACCCTAAAATTTAAAGTCTAGCGCTGCCCCTGGACCATCCGGTTGTTATTACATAATTAAAGTTAACAAACTTTAAACTCTGTCCTTAATTAGTTTTATGCTAATGAATGTATGTACATTAATTGACTTTTCATCCATGAAACATCTTGGTTAGGCACCATGGATGATGAAACCTTTTTGTTTTTTTTAATTAGTTTGAATATTTCAAATACTCACGTTTTCACAAGGAGTATATTATAATTAAAAGGTATAAAATTGGTCAACAGCAATAAAGAAATTTTTACGACCATGTAAGTATGACCTCGCTATCGATGGTAATGAATATGCATGTGTTTTTGTCTGTAGAATTTCTTGTCAGTCGACAGACACAGTTCACATATGGACCTCAATATCCAATTATTAGGAATGGGAAAATTTATTTGTCCGTAATTGAGATTGAAAATTACCTTTTATTTAAATTAAATGAATTTTATAAAATTTCATGTATTTTTTATTTACAAATTTAATTTTTTGTGCTTGGAATTAACTAAATTGACGTGAAGTTCCGTTTCAAATTTTAAATCTTAATTAATTTGAAAAAATTAATGTGATGAAAAAGAAATTTTAATTATTTGCCCCAAAGTTCATTCAGATTTTTCAAAATTTGGACGACATTTCTTTTTTGCTTTGTCAAAATTTTGAATTTAATCCAATAAATTTAATTTTCATTCAATTACATTACTGTTTGGCTAGAGCTGGTAAAGGAAAGAAAAAAGGAATTCTCCTTTTCAGCATTAGAAAAAGATAGAACCCTCATTGATTTTTGCATTGCCAATGGCTCCAAGTTGGAAGGAATGATTTTTGAAGAGGAAAATATAAATAATTTCTCACTTCAACCAAACAATCTAAAAGCTTCTTCCCATTTTTCCTTTTCCTTCTTGTCTTTTTGTACTTTTCTTCCATCTTTTTCATTTAAACCAAACTTAAAGAAAATTGCCATTGGGACAATAATACAATAATCAAATTCTTGTTTGATAATATAAGATTAAAGCATTTAAATTTCGATAATCTCATAACATAATATATAATTTATAAAAATAAAATCTATTTATTCAATTAATTAAAAAAACAAAATCCATCTTAAGACTACAAAAGTTCACAAAATAGAAACTAAAATGTTACGGAGTTGCATATAATATTGCATACATTGATGATGCAAAAGATTTTGTTCTTCTCACATGATCTTGCCTTGGTCAATATACAACACCCTTTTACCACCCTTTCTGAACTCGTAAGCCTTAAGGGATGCTTCTTCATTAAAGTTTGCTTATTTCTTTCCCTTTTTTTAATTCCAAAATCCTCTTGTTTAATTGAAAATCATCTTGTGATGCCATTCTTTGAATATGAAAGCTAAATCAAATTGTTAATTAATGGAAGTGTAGTGCAATAAATATCTTGTCTCAACTTAATTAGGTTCAGTTTGTTTTTATTTCAAAAAATAACAATCATTTTGTAAATTCTTGAACTAAGAAAAGCGTAGGCGCTACGAATCCTTTTCTAGCTTGGAATTAGTTTCATTGTATTTCTTTTGTGTTACTCTCTTTGGTTAGTCTTGTTGTATAAAAAAGCCTATCGGTTTGGATATAGCTGCTCTCGAATCTTATAAGTTTTTTCCCTTTTTGATATCATTAAAATAAGATTAATATTCTAATTATATCATATCGTCAAATGATCCCCGTTCCTCCTTGGATGCAAAGGGGTTGGCTTAGAAGATTGAAAATAAAACTTAAGTCATGTAACTCTGCAATTACTCTTTGCCATTAAGTTATCCACGTTCGAGTTGCTAGTATTACTGTTTACTGATGTATAGTAGTTCATTAGTAATATTATTAAAAATAGTTATAAAAGCTGGCTAAGGTGTAAATTTATTAAATTATTACAAAAATAGCCATCTTGTGTAATCTAAGAAAAATTCTTTGTTAAAGTCGTAGAAGATACAATCCAAGACTTGTTCAAGCCCATAATTCATTGAAGCTTTCTTATTTATGGTTTCATCAGTCCTTTGGAGATATCAGTTTTGCTTATAAGCTTCACATTCTTCCTTTTTTTTCTTTTTTTTTTTTTTGGCTCCTTCTGCGAAAATGATGTCACTGAAAAATTCAGAGTACTTGGTCTCTTATACAATTAGATATTTTACTGTCTTATTGAGTAAACTTCTTCTTGTAATTGTTCCTTGTAAATTCCGACTACAGACTATTCAAATTTTAGACTTTTATTTTTGTTAATTTTTAACAATTTTTATTTAAGAAATTAAAATTGACATATAAAGATTATTGAATAAAATTGACAAAATTCAAAAAGTTAATTCTAATAATTATAAGCAGAGTCGTGCAAGAGTTAATGAGAGTTATAAATAAAAGTCATAATTAGAAATATTTATGAAAAAGAAAGAAAATATATTATTAAATTGAGAGTAATTATCATATACTCCTTAAGTTTTGCACAAATATATTAATAAAGACTTCAGTTTTCGAAATTACATTAATTAGTTTTTGCATTATAATTTTGTTTCCAACTGTTAGTTTTTCAATTGAGTGACAGTGAAATGTTAATAGTAACATTAAAAATAATTACTATATAGTCCTTATGGTTTGATAAAATATATTAGTAAGGACCTCAATTTTCATAACTTTATACAATAACCATTCTTAAAGGTGTTATCGATATTTCACTACTTAATGGAATAACTAACCATTGAACCTTATAATATAGCGGAGATATAATGCAATGATTAAATAGTGTAATTTTGAAATTCGATGTCCTTACTAGTGTCCTTATGGACTATATGTAATTACTCTATTAATTACTCCATCCATCTCAAAATAAGTGTCATTTTTTATCTCAGTACATACATTAAGAAATGTGATTAATGGTCTAAATTGTATAGAAGTTAGTTTACAAAATGTCTATTTTTGGTCTCCAATTAAATTAAGCGAATAATTAAGGAACAATTACATTATGAGTAGAATACTAAATAAGGGTAAATTAGAAAAGAAAAAAATTAGTGAAGTCTTATAAAAATGATACTCCCTTTGTCCTGAAAATGCTTGTCCTGTTTACTTTTGCATAAAATTTAAGAAACACGTTAATTATAATATTCAATCACATAAAGTATCCATACTTTTCAAAATTGTCCTCTTTAAGACAAAAAAAAAAAAAAAAAAAATTATTCCTACAATTTAAAACCATTTATATAATAAAGGCATGAAGGAAAAGTAAATACTATCTCTTAAGTTAAGCGAATAAACATTTTAAAACATTTAAAAATAAAATATGATCAAACGTTTTGAGACGGAATAAATATTTTCAAGGCGTACCTTGAAGGGAAGGGAAGGGAATATTATTATTTTATGAATTCTCTGACTAATG